AGCAATAGAAACTGCAGAGTACACAAATTCATGAAACCAGAATGATGACTGGGAAGAAATCAAGAAGGAATTTTTTTAATTCCTAAGATCGATTGAAAATAAAAACACCTGACTTCAAGCTCTATTATAGAACTATAGTCCTGAAAACAGCTTGGTATTGGCACAAAAATAGACAGGTAGACCAATGGAATTGAATTGAAAACCCTGATATTAATCCACACATGTGTGAACACTTGGTTTTTGACAAAGAAGCTAAAACTATACAATGGAATAAAGAAAGCATCTTCAACAAATGGTGCTGGCATAACTGGATGCTGGCATGTAGAAGACTGCAGATAGATCCAAGTCTATCACCACGTACAAAATTTAAGTCCAAATGGATCAAAGACCTCAACATAAATCCAATCACACTGAATATCTTAGAAGAGAAAGTGGGAAGTGCCCTTGAAAGAATTGGTACAGGAAATCACTTCCTGAACATAATATCAGCAGCACAGACATTGAGATTAATAACTAATAAATGGGTCCTCCTGAAACTGAGAAGTTTCTGTAAGGCAAAGGTCACAGTCTATCTACAAGACAAAAAGGTAGCCCACACAATGGGAAAAGATATTCATTAACCCCACATCTGACAGAGGGCTGATCTCCAAAATTTACAAAGAACTCAAGAAGCTAGTCACCCAAACACCAAATAATCCAATTAAAAAGTGAGCTACAGAACTTAATAGAGAACTGTTAATAGAGGAATCTAAAGTGGCTGAAAGACACTTAAAGTGCTCAACATCCCTAGCAATCACGGAAATGCAAATCAAAACAACTCTGAGATGCCATCTTACTCCTGTCAGAATGGCTAAAATCAAAAACACCAACAATAGTTTATGCTAGAGAGGATGTGGAGAAAGGGGAACATTTCTCCACTGCTGGTGGAAGTGCAAACTTGTACAGCCACTTTGGAAATCAGTATGGCGATTCCTCAGGAAAATGGGAATCAGTCTACCACAAGACCCAGCAATTTCCCTCTTAGGTAAATACCCAAAAGATGTACATTCATACAACAAGGACATCTGCTCCACTATGTTCATAGCAGCATTATTTGTAATAGCCAGAACCTGGAAGCAACCTAGATGCCCCTCAACTGAAGAATGGATAAAGAAAATGTGGTACATTTACACAATGGAATATTACTCAGACGGAAAAAACAAATAAACAATGGAATCTTGAAATTTGAAGGCAAATGAATGGAACTAGAAGAAACCATCCTGAGTGAGGTAGCCCAGTCACAAAAAGACAAACATGGTATGTACTCACTCATACATGGATATTAGACAAAGTATTACTAGCCTACAGTCCACACCACCAGAGAAGCTAGAAAACAAGGAGGACCCTAAGGGAGACATACATGGTACCCTGGAGAAGGGGAAAGGGACAAGATCTCCTGAACAAACTGGGAGCATGGGGGAGAGGGAGTTAGGAGAAAGAAAGGGAGAAGGGGGGAGGAAGACAGAGACCAGGAAGATTGAGTAGAGGGAAGAATAGAGGAGAGCAAGAAAAGAGATACCATAATAGAGGGAGCCATTATAGGTTTAAAGAGAAATCTGGCACTAGGGAAATGTCCAGAGATATACAAGGATGATCTCAACTAAGAATCTAAGCAATAGTGGAGAGGCTACTTTAAATACCCTTCCCCTATAATGAAATTGATGGCTGCCTTATATACCATCCTAGAGCCTTCATCCAGTAGCTGATGGAAGCAGACGCAGAGAACCACAGCTAAGCCCTGAGCCAATTTCCAGGAATCCAGTTGTAGAGAGGGAGGAGTGATGAGCAAAGAGGTCAAGACCAGGCTGGGGAAACCCACAGAAACAGCTGTCCTGAACAAGGGGGAACTCATGGACCCCACACTGACAGCTCAGAAACCAGCATAGGACAGAACCAGGCCCCCTGAATGTGGGTGTCAGTTAGGAGGCTGGGCAGTCAATGTGGCCTCTGGTAGTGGAACAGTATTTATCCCAAGTGTATGAATGAACATTGGGAGTCCATTCCTCATAAAGGGATACTCTCCCAGCCTAGGCACATGGGGGAGGACCTAGGCCCTGCCCCAAATGATGTGACAGACTTTGATGATCCCCCATCGAAGGCCTCACCCTTTCTATGGAGCAGAAGAGGGATGGGATGGGGATTGGAGGGGGCATGGGAGGATGGGAGGAAGAGGGAACTGGGACTGATATATAAAATAAGATTGTTTCTAATTTAAAGAAAAACACAACATACCAAAACCTATGGGATCCAATAAAGGTAGTCCTATGAGGATACTTTATAGTACTAAGTGCCTATATCAAAAAAAATGAGAGATTTCAAGTTAATAATTTAACAGTATGTCTTTTTTTTTTTTTGGTTTTGAGACAGGGTTTCTCTGTATTGTTTTGGAGGCTGTTGGTCCAACCCAGCCTCGAACTCACAGAGATCCGCCTGCCTCTGCCTCCCGAGTGTTGGGATTAAAGGCGTGCGCCACCACCGCCCGGCTAACAGTGTATCTTAAGGTCTTGGAAAAACAGTAGATGGAAATGATAGCCAAAATTAAGAAAATGAAACAAAAAAACTTAGGAAGACAAACAATAATGACAACCCCTTAGCCAAAATAACCAAATGAGAGAAATGACCCAAATAAAGATAATTAGAAATGAAAAGAGAAACATTATAACAGATACAAACAAAATTTAGAAAATCATAAGGACATATTTTTAAATCTCTTGTCCATTGAATTGGAACATCTAAAAGAAATGGACAAATATCTAGATGCATGAAACATAACAAAATAAAACCAAGATGAAATAAGTAATTTAAACAGAGCCACAGCCAGCAATGAAATTGAAGCATTAATGAAAATTACCCCAACCTAAAGAACTCCAGGGCCAGATGCATTCAGCACAGAATTCTACCAGAATCTCAAAGAAATAACACTAATACTTTCCAGACTCTTTTTGTGAAGCAGTATTGTTATTTTTGCTGTATTCTCAGACTGTCAAACTCACATTTGTATCCATATTTTGTGCTGCTGTCAACCTTAGTTAAACAAACTTCTTACGCAGGGGGCAGTGGTTATTGTAGAGAATCGTAACTGTACAGATTGCTGAGAATAAGTGGCTGAGTTCCCAGTCACACACACACTCGCACTCACACGCACAGGCACACCCATGCACACATTCATGCGCACGTTCTCGCACACACACCCGGTGTTCAGAAAATGCTGTGAAAGAGGGGATGGGAAGAGTGTAAGAACTGGAAGGCGGAAAGGAGAGCTATGAAAAGCTTCCCTCTCAGCGTGCATGGCACACAAGATCAAGCCAGTTAAAAATTCTAGCAGAAAGGGCATGGGCACCTCGGGTTCCAGCTCTAGCTGAGGGTTTATTGGCAGCTGAGAGCTAGGAAAAAAGAAAAAGTTATTTTAGGAGTGTGGCCACTAACAGCTTCCCCTATCATAACCCAGTGGATGACCCTATACCCACCCATGAGCACGAATGTAGTGCTCACTGGACTCAGAGGGATAAATATGTAAGTAAATAAATAGTACATAAAGTCGTGAAGTTGTTATTGGGGTCCTGGTGGGAGCTGGAAGGAGAAAATAAGGGATGGATGTGATTCAGATGCATTCTATTCATGTATACAATGTATATATGAAAACTTCAAAGAATAATAAACGTTTTGAAAACTTGAGATACATACATTCTATTTAGATAGATAATAAGAATTTTAAACTTTCAAACCAAAAAAAAAAAAAGTGAGACAGATTTGCAGCACACGCATTTAATCCTAGCACAAGGTAGGCAGAGGCCAGTGGCTCTCTGTGAGTTCAAAGCCAGGATGGTTTGCAAAGCAAGTCCCAGGAAAGCTGGAGTTGTGTAGTGAGACTCTGTCTTAAAAATAATTTTTAATTAAATTAAAATAAAAACATGAAAAGAAAGGGATGTAAAGAACAAACAAAATGAGTGGTTCATTCTGCCTACAGCTGTTTTTAAGATTTTATTTTTATTTGTTTTACTCTATGTGGAAGGGTGTCTTGCCTGCATGTATTTCTGTGTACATGCATGCCTGGTGCCTTTGGAGGCCAGAAGAGGGCATTGGATTCTCTGGAACTGGAGTTGATAGGTGGTTGTGAGCTACTATGTAGGTGCTAAGTATCAAACCTCTGTCCTCTGGAAGAGAATCCAGAATTCTTAACCACTGAGCTATCTCTCCAGTCCCCTGCATTTTAAACTAAAGAAACCATGTAATATTCTTCTTTCATTAAACAGTGAGAATAAATTTACTTCTTGTCTTTTATCCATATCACCTGCAAAGATGAATGTGACAAAATTTTCCAAAATGTTTTTCTTTTTAAATCCACTTATGCAAATACAAATATAAAATGAAATATTTTTGCAAAAATTCTATTATAACCTGAGTAATTAAAGCTTAGTAGCAAAGACACACAGAAAGACCAAGAACATTCTGGTAAGGATTCATTGCAACGCTCTCTTTTTTAATGTAGTTTTTTCCTAGTAAATAAAGTTAACTTATGCATAATAAAATTTAAATATCAAATAACACACATTTTTCTTAAATATACCATATCTAATAGTCATAGCATGTATGTACTGAATACACTTCCTCAAAAAGTATTTATTTATCCATAGTATGAATATAAGGTGATACGTTTTATCCAGTTATTAATAAAAAATCAGAACTCACAATTAGAATTTTCATATAAAAATGAACCCTCCTTAATATAATATCTCTTATCACACATGTATATAATTTTATAAAAATACTTATGATCTTAAATTTAAGTTTAATTCAGTTTCCTTGGTTCATCTGAGAGTCATGCTTATCGTCATGTCACAAAATACAAAGAGGAGCACACAGGGTGTAGACCATGGACAAATGAATTTCTTTTGTCCTGATTCCAAATGCGCATTGTCATCCCAGGGTTCCATGGCACAGAAGAGAAAGGAAGCTCCTACCTGGTGGGTATAAGCAGGAAAAACACTGGCACAGACATCACCAGCTGGAGGTGGTGCCAGTTTTGAATAGCAAAAGCCAGGCCTGCCAGAGTGAGCTGTCCAATTGCCACAGCACATAATAACAGTGCTGTGGCCGTGGCTTGGAATTTAGGTTTTATCCATTCTATCGCTGAAAGAAAAGAAAATGAATCTTGACTTCGTATTAAGGTGGGAAGGACACCCAGGTCAAAACCAAACTTAGAAAATGCCTATTGACAGGTGACCCTAGCTAGCAGGAACTCACGAACTCTGGGCTGACAGCTGGGGAACCTGCATGGGGCCGAACTAGACCCTCTGAATGTGGGTGAAGGTTACATGACTTATCTGTTGGGGAGCCCTGGCAGTGGCACCAGGACCTATCCCAGAGGCATGAACCGACTTTTTGGAGCCCATTCTCTGAGGTGGATACCTTGTTCAGCCTTGATACAGGGGGAAGGGGCTTGGTTCTGCCTCGGCCTCAACTTGGTGTGCCAGGCTTTGTTGACTACCCAAGAAAAGCCTAACCCCTTATGAGGAGTAGGTGTGGGGGTGAGAAGGGGAGGACTGGGGTTGATATGTAAAATAAAAAATAAAAATTTTAATAAAAAACAAAAGAAACTGTTCATCAAAAGCTTTGACTTACTGAGCAAGCTACTGTTTGTCAGAAGGGATGAGAGAGAGATCCCCGCCAGGAAGCGCAGGGAGCAGTAGATGAGGAATGTGGGAGCAAATGCCGCGCAGGTTTCACTGACAGCCAGTTGCACTAAAGCACATCTGAAGACCAGCTTCCTCCCAAACCTGAGGGAGAGGAGATTAGATTGTGGGAACAATGCATTTGGCATACCAATCGAAGACACTTTAAAATGACAAATATTCAAAAAATAACGAAGAGTGCCTATCCTGCAAAGCTACTTTCTGTGTTTGTAAACAGTATGAACCCTGTTCCAGAAACAGATGGAAGCAGATGCAGAAATCCACACCTAACCATTGGCACAAGCTCCTGGGGTACAGTTGAAGTGAGGGAGGAGTCAAGATCTTATGGGGAAACCCACAGAATCAGCTGACCAGAGTTAGTGAGAGATCACTGACTCAGGTCTGACAAATGGGGAACCTGCATAAGACCGAACTAGACTCCCTGAATATAGGTGACAATGGTGCAGTTGGGACAGTATATGAGGCCACTGACAGTGGGTCCAAGATCTAACTCTAATGCACAAACTGACTTACTGGAGCCAATTCTATATGAGAGACACCTTGCTCGGCCTAGTCACGGGGCAAGGAGGGGGTGCCTTGGTCCTACCTCAATGAGATGATGGGGCAAACTCAGTAGACTTCCTAGGGGAGGCCTTACCCTCTCCGAGGAGCAGATAGGAGGTGGGGATGGAGGGAGCAGGAGGAGAGGATGGGGGGGGAACTGGGATTGGAATGTAAAAATATAAATTAATAAAAAAATATTTTAAGTCACAAGGCAGGCATAAGAACTAGTACAACGGTCTAAAGAAATGATTAAACCATGTCCAGGCAGTGGTGGCGCACGCCTTTTACCCCAGCACTTGGGATGCAAAGGCAGGTGGACCTCTGAGTTCGAGACCAGTCTTGTCTACAGAGTGAGTTCCAGGACAGCCTCCAAAGTCACAGAGAAACCCTGTCTCAAAAGAAGGAGGAGGAGGAGGAAGAAGAGGAGGAAGAGGAAGAAGAGGAGAAAAAGAAGAAGGAGGAGGAGGAGGAGGAGAAGGAGAAGAGAGAAATAATTAAGCCAGATGAAGAGTGAACAAATACAAGACAGGAAGATCCAAAAAGTCAAAATTCAGAGTTTAATTGTCAACCAGAAGGGGAATCTTTCTGGCCAGTTGAATAAAAGCATGTGCACTGACTTTAAATAAGTGCGGTAACTGATGAACCACTCTGTGGTATCCGCTACTCTCAACGGCATACTGACATTATGGCATTAGTTATACATTCAATTGTATGCACGTCTATACAACATATAATTCTTAAGTTTATGCTTCAATTTAGAACAAGGAATGAATAAAAAAAGTGGTGTGTTAGATGGAATGATAAAGTGACAGTCTTCACTTAGTCAAAACAATGCATATATGGGAACATCATCTAAATCATATGTATTCTCACAGGAAAGAGTCATCTCTGTAAAGGGAAGCCTTCCCGCCAGCCTGGTTCCAGAGCCACATCAGTCCCAAATGAAAACACAGGAGGCTATATTAATTATGAAGCTGTTGGCCTTGCTTGTTTCTTACTGGCTAGCTCTGACTTAAGTATTTATCCCATAATTAGTATTTCTCTTACCGGAGAGGTTTCCGGGCTTCCTACCCCATGGCGTTACATCTTGACTTCCTGTGTTTCTCCTTCCCAGAGTCCTCCTGGACTCCTAGTCCCACCTATCTTGGTTCCCTATTGGCCAACAGTGCTTTATTGACATATACACAGGACGTCCCCCATCACATCTCTAAAACTATTAAATGTTACACTTCTTGGATAACAAACCTCTGATGGTAACCTAGTTACCTATTCATAGAAGGTGACTCAAGACACTCATGGATTCCCCCTGTGAAGCATTACATAGCAACTAGAAAAATGAACTAAAAGTACAAACAGAGATATATAGGTATCCCAACAAACAGAAAAAAGTTGCACAAAAGAAAAAGAATGTTGAAACCCATAGTCCCTAGTTTCTGGTCCTGTTCTAGAACCTTTGGAATATGGGGCATCATTGGAGGAAGTGCTTCTCTGAAGACTTTGAGGAGAAAGCCTGGCACCAATCCTTATCTATTCTCCACTTCCTCGTCTGCAGTATTCAAGTAGATACCCTCTATCCCTTGTCACCATAGTCTCCAACCCCTCATTCAGTCATGTCTTTCCAACATGATGACTCTACCCTCAAGCATGTGCAAAAACGAAATGCAGAGAACATCTGGTCATGGGTGCTCAGCCCCAACTGATGCATCTACAATGCAACCACCAAGGCTCAGGAAGCATCACAGAGGAGGGGATAAAATGATTATAAAAGCCAGAGGGCCAGAATGATTACTGTGAGATAGTGTCTTTTATATACAACAGGAGTTGTACCCGTAAGATCTGAAGAATATGGTCACCCAAATAAGACTAGCACAAGTTGACATGCCAATATAGATGGGAACTATCTCATAAGATGCCACGTCTAGTTGAAGAGCTATAGGCAATTAGTGACTGCTAAGAGAAGGAGAACCAGTCTTCTTCAGTGATGGACCTCCTAATAAGTTATCCAATCCCACGTGTCAGCCCTAAACATACACATACAGTAGAACTTAGGTTATGTTTATCTGTGGATGTGAGTATATGTAAAAGAATAACTAAAGAGATAGTTTGAGGAACACAGGAGAAGCTAGAGAAGAAGGTAAATATGTGATATAAATGCTGTACTCGTGTATAAAACTCTCAAATATTAAAATTTTAAATTGAAAAAAATCATTTCTTAATTTTCTCTTGTCAGGAGTTTGTTAACAAAGATGAGGAAAGCCACTAATATGGAGCATACCTGTATGACCTCTTACTAAGAGAGGGCATTAGATGTTAACATTTAAAAGAGTCACTGTGTATAAAAGTGCTTCTTGCCTCACTTCAGAGTCTCTTTGGGTTTTTGTCTATTTGTTTTGGTTTGGGTTTTTTGGTGGGTTTTTTTGTTTGTTTGTTGGTTTCTTTGTTTCTTTTTCTTTTTTGATTGGTTGGTTGGTTGGTTGGTTGGGTTTTTTGTTTTTTGGGTTTTTTTTTTGTTTTGGTTTTTTGTTTGTTTGGTTTTGGTTTTGGTTTTGGTTCTCAAGACAGGGTTTCTCTGTGTAACCTTGGAATACCAGGGGTACCTCTTCCCCTCTTCTTTGTTTTGAAGATTCACTTTACACTGTGAAATTTCTAATGAACCAAGATCTTAAAGTTAATTAGCTCTTAGGGTAAAGGGAAGAAAAGTGATCAACAGGCACTCCCAAAACATAGCATTTTTAAATCTCAAAATGTATTTTCTGTCCTTTGTGTAACCCCAGTCAATAAAGAAAAAAACTTGTAACTCTTTCTTGGAGCTACAAAGTTGAACTATTTTCTGTAGCCCTGGCCAGTTGAAAATCTTTCCCCTCAGTATATCTGAGCAAAAGGCATTTTTGTTTCTAAATATTGATTAATGGCTCCCTGTCACCTGTGCAATTTCAGGACCAAACATAAAAAGTTAGTTGGCTGAACTTTGAGTCTTCAGGTTACAAACACATACCAAGAAACTGAGGTTAGGAATTTATGCAGAGTTAATCATTGTCCTAGTTTATTGGCCAGAACTAGCAAGGAAATTTATATTTTTTCCTGTTACACATTTTTTATTAATTTTTTAACTTTCCAATCCCAGTTCCCCTCCCTCCTCTCCTCCCTCTTCCTCCTACCCTCCCCCACCTCCAATCTTCTCCTCAGAGAGAATAAGACCTCTTCTAGGAAGTCTTTTAAGTCTGTTACATCATCTTGTTGTGGTAGGACAAAGCCCCCCACTAGGCTGGGCAAGGTATCTCTCCATAGAGAATGGGCTCCACTAAGTCAGTTTGTGCATTAGTGTTAGGTCTTGGAACCACTGCCAGTGGCCTCATATATTGCCCCAGCTGCACCATTGTCACCTGTATTCATATGCAGGTTCCCCATTTGTCAGACCAGAGTCAGTGCTCTCTCACTAGCTCAGGTCAGCTGATTCTGTGGGTTTCCCCATCATGGTTTTGACTCCTTTGTTCATATTGTCACTCCTCCCTCACTTTGATTGTACTCCAGGAGCTTGGCCCAATGGTTAGTTGTGGGTTTCTGCATCTGCTTCTATCTTCCTGGAACAGGGTTCATACTGTTCACAAACACAGAAAGAACCTAGAAACAGCCTAGATGCCCTCAACTGAAGGATGAATAAGAAAATGCGGTATATACATACCATGGAGTACTACTCAGTGGTAAGAAACAGTGACATCTTGAAATTTGCAGGCAAACGGATGGAACTAGAAAAAAACTTCCTGAGATAGGTAACCCAGACCCAGAAAGACAAATATAGTATGTACTCACTCATAAGTGGATACCAGACACAAAGCAAAAGATACCCAGCCTAAAATCCACAACCCCAGAGAAGCCAGAACCCTCTTCTAGATTTAACAGGACACTGCACCCATCAGCTTGCAGCAGCTGCGATTAACTACCAAACCATCACAGATCAAGCCAGCCAATTCTTCAGCATGAAGTGGGGAAAAGTTCATGAGTCCTTTTCCATAACTGAGAAGCAATTAACAGCTGATGGCTTCTGAAGAAAGGAGACTCGGTTTTCTTTAAGGTTATAGACTCTAGTAGCTGGACCATTCTATAGTGAATGGCCTGACACCCAGGGCAGCACAAATTGAAATAAATGGCTTATTTTTAAAAGGGATTGAGGAGAACACAAAGTTGGGAGACTACATTTGAAAAGAGTTAGGAGGGAATGAAATGAATATGATAAAATATATCATATATACATTTGAAATTCTCAAAAGTTAGTAAAAAATATATTCCTAAAAGAATATGATGGATGAAGAGGCTATGTTAATATTAGACAGACTAATATTGGAACAGATGTTTTTCCAGGTGTGGTAGTACATACTGGCAATTCCAGATACAAGACTGAGGCATGAGGACTATTATCTGAAGACTATTCTGGAACACACATAGAGTTTGCTAAGGTGGGCTATGTAGTGAGACACTGTGGGAGATCCGTCCTCCCACATTCCCTCCATCCCCAACAAGCTTGGTTGTTGTCTTCTAAGGGAAAGTAATTCACACTGTGTCTAGATAAAACGAGAAGCCAAAGTTTATCTTAATCATAGTTCAAAATAAGCAATGCTCAATAAAAGTTGAAATAACAGATATTTGAAAAAAGAAAATAAGCAGCACTGGGGCTGAAGAGATGGTGTAGTAGATGTTCAGAGCTCCTGCCCTTATACAGATTCCAGAGACCAAAATCAGCTCATCAGGGTTGCCTGGTAGGACCTGTGCCCACTGAGCCATCTCTAGCCAAGATATTTGCTTCATTTTATTCACAAATACCTTTTTTAAAAAAACCTAGGGTGCACTTTTGGGCTCATATACCAAGGACTCTGCATCTTAATACAGAGATACTTCCTCAAAAAAAAAAAAAAAGCAACAGTGTGAAAGTCTGCCTCCAATATCTGAACTTAGAAGTCTTGATATACCGTGTTACTGCTTGCCTTCCCCGGGATGGTCTTTAGGTGTCTTCCTTCCTGGCAAGGAAGATGCGTTCTTGGAAGCTGTCTTTACCCACAATTCAGTCTTTTACAGTTAGATATACAAATACGTATAAAGGTGTAAGTACTCACAAAGTTGACAACACACTAATTACAGGCAAAGGTACCTCTTGAATGTTCCTCAGAGGGGAGCTCTGTGGGAGCTAGCTAGACCCTCCTGAAACCAGCCTGGTTGTTCTCCCTGACCCCGTCCTGCCTCTTGTCAGGTTACCTCATACCTAGATGCCAGTCTCCTTACTCATCATCCTCAGTATCCCTGGTGTTGGGAACACTGTATTAACCCCAAAATAAATAAAACAAGACAATCCACAAATAATAAGATGAATAAATATTTTAATGAGTCTTCATTGAGAAGAGGAAGAACAAATTATAATGCTGAATCTCAGATTTACATTTATGTAAGCAGTACTTTCAAATACATACAACAAAAACACAAAGTTAAAGGAAAAAATAGTTTAGTGAAGTGAGAGATTTTAATATTACTCTCAGTAATTAACAAAAAAAACAGAATATATCTCAAGACTTGAGATATATGAGTGAACATTACTCCCAACCAAAATTCCTTGCTTGGCCTTTACTCTTCCATGAAGAGCAGATTACAAATTTGCTACAGAGCCGGGCGTTGGTGGCGCACGCCTTTAATCCCAGCACTCGGGAGGCAGAGGCAGGCGGATCTCTGTGAGTTCGAGGCCAGCCTGGTCTACAAAGTGAGTTCCAGGACAGCCTCCAAAACAACAGAGAAACCCTGTCTCGAAAAACCAAAAAAAAAAAGCAAATTTGCTACAGTCTGATGTGCCTCCAAGACTCATACTTGGAAAGTCACTATCTGGTCTGACAGTACTAAGAGGTACCTTTCAGATTTTGTTAACTGAGAGTAGGGATGCCCTGAGCAGAATGGCTAACATCAGGAAAATTGAAAACAAATGTTGAAGATGATGTAGGAAAAGAGAAACATTTATTCATTGTTTGTGGGGGTGCAAACTAGTACAACCAATATGAAAATTGGTGGGGAGGTTCCTTTAAAAATTTAAAATGCCACCAGGCATTGGTGGCTCACGCCTTTAACCCCAACAGAGGCAGGCGGATCTCTGTGAGTTTGAGGCCAGCCTGGTCTACAAAGGGAGTTCCAGGACAACCTCCAAAGCTACAGAGAAACCCTGTCTCAAAAAAACCAAAAAACAAAACGAAACGAAACAAAAACAAAATAAAATAAACTATATAACTCCTGGCCATGGACCCAACGGGCTCCATACCCGGTCACAGAGACATCTGCTCGTCACTTTTATCGTTGCTATATGTGTGATAGCGAGGACACAGAATCAGCCGAGTTGTCTGTCAACAGATGAACCAATAATGGAAATGTGGTACATGCACACTTGAGATGTACAGGAAATGGGTGGATCCATAAGGAATAAAATTAAGTGAGGTCACTCAATCCCAGAAAGAACAAACTGCACATTCTCCCATACATGAGGATCATAACCTATAATGCTCATATGTAAACAGCTATAAATGTGAGTAAAGCCTGAAAAACCCAGAAAAGAGGCCAAGTACATGGTGATGGGGAAGGTGAGGGTGGGAAAAAGACAATGGGACATGAAAAGGAAAAGAACATAGGGGGCAGCAACAGAGGAGAGATAGAGAGTGCGGGGTGGGGTGTGGAGGAAGAAAAACCACACAAACACACTTTGTTTGAAACACCGTGGGGGCTAAGCAGATGACTCAGTGGGTAAGAGCACTGGCTGCCCACATGGCAATCTTTAACTCCAGTTTAAGGGTATCTGACACCTTCTGGTCTCCGCTGGCACAAGGCTCACACATGGAGAACAGACAGACATACAGGCAAAACACCCACACACACAAATGTCTTAAGAGTCCCTAGCACTGTGGTGACTTCTTTTATGTGTGGAGAGACAGGGATTTGTTGGGGCACCTGAAAGGGAGGAGAGAGGGCCAGTTGGGATGGGTAAAAGATATATTGCTGACAACTGTGAAATCATCAAAGAACAATTAAAAGATACTCTTTCTTAAAAATCTGAGAGTGGAACCCTCAGGAAAGGCGTTAGCAACCTTATAAAAAAGATGCAAAGCCCCTTCAGTTGCTGCCTGTGCCTGGCAACCTCAGTGGTCTCCAGCTGCCACGCAGAGGTGAAAGGGAAAACTGACTCCATAAAGCTGGCCTCTAATCTTCACATTGCAAGTCGTGGCACACATGCTTACACGCACGCACACGTGATGTGCATACAGTGTGCATACATACAGGTCATGTGCATATATATCCAGCGATACTAAATGTTTAAAGTTAAAATAAAGAGGCACAAGGATGCTGTGTGAATTGTGTGCTGTCTGAGGGCCCAGTGAGTGCCGCTTCTGCTAAAGGAAACGGCAGAACTTGCTTGACAGAAATGGTCATCTCTTTAAAAAGAGGTGTTTCTTCAGGCACCAGATCTAAGTTACACCACAAACTGTGACGACAATTGTCATGAGATGAATTGTTTCATATGCCTGAAAGTGTCTTTGGCAGAAGCAAAAATAAAAGTGACAGACATAGCTTCCCAACTCACCAATGGCACCACAGGTGTCAAAGGACATTCCACCATCATTGTGCTTGAGAAGTGGAGACATAACGTCCCTTCTCTGTGCACCACAGCTGCTCAGTGCAGTGTCCAGGATGAAGAAAGCACAGTTCCCCTGGCAAGAGTGTCAATGCTGTTTTCTATATTTGAACATTCAAATAGGATTAAAACATCACATTGAACATCTTTGTCTCATTCCCATAGTTGACTGTTTCTCATATTTCTTTTTTTGTTTTTTTTATTCCTGGTACCACTACCACAATTTACAGGGCAATATACCTGATGTAATGAAAAGAAAAGACCTCAGGAATGTACATCTAATTGACACTACATTGCGTTAATCAATAGCTGAACAAGAAAGGTTTCCTGTTTATGTTTCTCATATTTCTTAACCATGCTGTGACACTTTCTGTCTACTCCCCATCCTGAAATACCCCCGTATCTCATGGAGAGGCTATTCCTGTGTCCATACAACACATAAACTTCTATTCAAACAGCACTCATCACATTGACCAAAATTTCCATTTGTGTTTGTGGTTCTCTAAGACCAAAGGTACAGCTAGAAGAATATAATTTGCAATGGCTACTTCACAATGAATGAATATTCACAGGTAACTAAAATACTCATTCAGAGAAAGAGTCATAAATCAGAGACACTCACCTGTCTGTTAAGTGGCCATATAGGGTATTTCCTACAAACATACCAGTCAAGAATAGGAACTTTACTATTGAATCCAGTGACTGAGATTCACACACCAGGTCCCACTGAAAGACATGAAAACCAGCAGAATAAGATTTATAACCTGTCAGACTATACAAAAACGCATTAATGTGGCCCTCAAGTTTCATTCTAGCAGCCCCTAAACTCCTCTCCCATTTCAATACCACCTGACTTCTATAATCCTGGTCTCAGCTTAAACACACCTGGATCCAGGAACGTTCCCCTAGTAACTTGGACCTAGTTCTATAGAGTGTACTGCTGACTTGCAACCCATGCTAAGAAATTCTCAAACTTGACCATATACTGCAATAATTTTAGAGCCTTAAAATGTACTGGATTCCATACCTGAGCTCAGATGGCCTCTCATACCACTTTGAGAGCTGAGATTTGAGCACTGACTTTATTAGATTAAATAGGCAGGTAAGTAGATAGATATACATACGTACATACATACATACATGCATGATAGATAGATAGATAGATAGATAGATAGATAGATAGATAGATAGATAGATGGGATAGAGATATACATTAGATACAGATGTATTGACAGTACTGAAGCTGGAGCCCAAGGTCTTGTGTACAACTCCATTCTATCCTATCACAGAAGGAAAAATACTGAGACTCCTCAGAGTGCTAGGAATTGAATCCTGGGCTCACACATGACATGCAAGCATTCTACCAGTGAGCCGTACTCCCAGACAGCCCGCTATGGCTTTGTTAAATCTCCTAAATATTTCTTATTTGAAATCAAAGTTGAAAAATAAACAATGACTTGTAATATTTACTTAAAAAGCACATGAATTATTTGCTTAAACTTATTTGACACGTAAGAATTACCTCTTAAACTATAGTCATCCCCTAGAGTGAAATAACCAGAAGAGTAAGTCCTTTTCATTTTTTGAAGTTATTAGACTCATTGAATATGTGTTTCACATTTAATAGATAAGTGATCAATATTGGCTAGAAGATTAAATCTAAGCTCAAAATATGTGCACTATTCATACTATTGCTAAACACCCATCATGAATTTATGACAGGAAATGAAGCCACTCACCTCAGTCACAATGGTGGAGAGGAAGGTGCTTTTGTCATACACCCAGCCGTCCACACAGGGTTCTATCTCTGGCTCTGCCACACCAGAGAAGGTGCCATTTAGATGAAGGAGATGCCACTGTGGTTGGACAAAACGATGACACTTGTCTGGCCTCAGGTTGGAGTCCAGAGGGATGGAGATCCTCAGGAGGTCATCTTGGCTCAGGATCCCACTTTTATTATCAGAGAAAGTGTCATTGTCAAGGATGGAGACCCAGCATCGATGACTGGGTGCAGCTGCAGTGAAGTTCTCCAGTAAAGAATGAGGAGCTACTATGACATTGCAAATAAAAATTAAAGTCATCTGAAGGATCTGGAATCTCCCCAGGCTGCCAACTTGATCCAGGAGATCCTGAAAGGCCATTGAAGACAAAAAACTATGTTCAAGGGAAGACAAAAACAATTGTTCCTAGGTGAGGCCAAAGGTTTTAACAAGTTCTGTTTCACTATGGAGTAGATCCTAACCCTTCTTAATATGTCCCTCTTCCCTTGATGAGTTAGGGTTAGCTGGGGAGTTGCTTCCTTTAAAGTCACCAAGCAACTGCTAAGTTGCTTTCTGTAATGAATCTGTTAAATATTTACCTTGTGAGAAACTTTGTGCACTGTTCCATGGTCATCTGTAGACACTGATCTATAAAGGCTGTGAAAATAAGCAAGAGCTAGCCTGTCAGTCCTTTACAGAATATGCAATTTTCCAAACTCAGAAGTTGGTTAATAAAATCAATGAAAAGAATTGGAAGCTAAATTAAAGCAAATGAAATATGGAACAGTTCTTGTCCTTTGCTGTGGGCTTCAGGTCCAGTGCCCATGAGTTCCCGTTGTAAATACATGCTCAGATGCTACAGGGTGAGCAAGGACAAGGTGTTGGTCTCATAGAAACCCTGGACTGGTCTCCCTCAGTACAAGCGGCTCCTCCCACACTCATCACCCATCGCTTCCTCCCAGAGAGTGGGCTTCCACTTCCCTTCCCCCAGCTTTTGATCCCTATACAACTCAGCCATTTTGGTCATGTGTCTCTTGGTGCTCTTGGTTCCCAAGTGTTCTCTTTGCCCCCTCTCTTCTCTTCCCCCCCACCCATGGCCCGATCCAGTCTGCTGGCCATGTTCAGTCAGGACCCTCGCAATGCCTGTGGTTGTTCTCTCCCTCGTATCCACAATAATCCCTCCTCCTCCACCACACCTTGGAGCACTCATGTCCTCATTTTTTCACTCATCTGGTGCTGAAACCACAGGTGAACTCCTCTCCAAGGGACTCAGCCTCTCTGAACCAAGCTGCTGGTTTGATTCCCCTACGGTATTGTGGTGGTTTGAAAGAAAATGGCCCCCAAAAGTAATGGCACTAGTAGGAGGGGTGGCCTTGTTGGAATAGGTGTGGTCTTGTTGGAGGAAGTGTGTCACTATGGAGGTGGGCTTTGAGGTCTCCTATGCTCAAGCCATGGCCATTGAGTCAGTTCACTTCTTGTTTTCTGCATATCAAGATGTAAAACTCTCAGCTCCTTCTCCAGCACCAAGTCTGCCTGCACGCTGCCATGCCCCACCATGATGATAATGAACTGAACCTCTGAACTATAAGCCACCCATTTAAATGTTTTCCTTTATAAGAATTGCCATGGTCATGGTGTCTCTTCACAGCAATCGAAACCCTAACTAACACAGGTGTGTGTGAATCATTTGTTGTTTGTTTTTTTTTTCTGACTTCTGCCACCCACCATATTTGACTCCAAATTCTAGGGTCTACTTCCTCAGCAGTTTCTTCCATCCACCTGCTCTAATCATCCCCCTATCCCCAACTACTGGGTAAGCATCCTCTGCTGTCATTTTTAAAGTGGCGCATAGGAGAAAGACCCATGCGACTGAGCTTGTGCAGAGGGTTTTCTTTTCATTTGAGCAAAAGTGAATGGGGAGAGCACGGAGGGGAGAGGGAAATCCTGCCTCTGGGGACAGGAGCAGCAGGGGAGAAGAGATAGGCAGAGAGAGGGGGGATTGAGACGGGGAGGCAAAGAGATAAGTAGAGAAGCAGACAGAGAGAGAAGGGAGTTGGACTATTAAGCACCAGCTGCTTTGATGATTTGTGGCAGACGAAGCCAGGTAGCTCCAAGTATCCAGGCTTCACTCTTCTATAGCAGATTTTTAGCCATGGCGGGGCTGGGGTGCAGCTCTCATCCTGTCTTGCAGAAAAGCATGGCCTAAGACTCCTCAGCAGCAGTGTTTTCTGGACAATAATGTATGAGCATATACATTGTGTACAGACTCTCCCTTCTTCTGAGTCCCAGTGGAAGTTCTTAACCATCAAGATACACTGATTCAATTTATCTTCTGTCATTTCTAGGATACTGCCTTCATCAGTGTGGTCCAAAATGATTCCCACTTCAGCCTACACTCCACTCTTCTGAAAGAGAAGATGCAAACACTCAGATCCCAAACTTTCCCCTCTTTTTCTCCCAGATTATTTCAATGATTTATTTTTATTTTATGTGCACTGGTATCTGTGTGAGGGTGTCAGATTCCCTGAACCTGGAGTTACAAACAGTTGTGAGCTGCCATGTGGGTGCTGGGAATTGAACCTGAGTCCTCTAGAAATGCAACCAGTGCTCTTAACCACTGAGCCCTGGTTCCCCAGAAGTGAAGTTACAGGCAGTCGTGAGCTCCCAGATATATGTGCTGGGATCTGAACTCAGGTTCTCTGCAAAAGCAACAGGCACTCTTAGCAACTGAGCCATGTCTCCAGCCCTGAAACATTTTTGTTTGGTTGGTTATGTGTGAGAGCGCACTCACACAACACTTGTGTACATACCTCAGGTCAGAGAACAATTTGCAGGGGTAAATAGAAAGCTTGGCTACAGTGCCCTTTATCCAGCAGGCCCAGATCTCAGTGGCCACCTGTTATACTGCCCCCTGGTGGAATCATCTGCATTTTGCTCATTGTGTGACATCACCAGCTAGACAGTCACCTGTGAAAGGGGCCTCCGGAGGGGTCAGCATGAGGCAAAATCTCAATCTTTCCTCCCCGCTAGAGACTATCACCATTTCCACAGTGATAAGAACTGAAAGTCAGTACAGATCTCAACACAGAATGGCCACAGTTCCTTGTCTAAATGTCTGCACATACTATTTGCATTGCAAACATGTTTGTTGGTTGTAATAGGGTTTCACAAGGCCCAGGAGAATTTTCAACTTGCTATCGACTGGCCCTGAAGTCTTGATCCCCCTCGACAATTTAAAAGCATCTCACACTGGAGAGATAGAGGCAGAAACAGGTAGATCTCTGTGAGGCTGGGGTCGGCCTCATCTACTTGGCAAGTTCCAAGACCCTGTCTTCAAAAAAAGTAGCTTAAAATGTATTTTGTGCCTATAATCCTAGGACTGGACAGGATCACCAATTTGAGGATACCCTGAGTTACATGATGAGAATAAAGTCCAATTGCAAAGGGAGGGAGGGAGAGAAGGAGGGAGGGAGGCAGGGAGGGAGGGAGGCAGAGAGGGAGGGAGGCAGGGAGGGAGGGAGGGAGGGAGGCAGAGAGGGAGGGAGGCAGGGAGGGAGGGAGGGAGGGACTTCTGAAATGAAGGGTCCTCAGCAAGGTCGGTATCACTGTAACTTGTTAATTGATATTCAGGAAATATCTTGTCCCACACATAACCCTGATCAAGCCCCTAGCATCCTGGTCGTCACGTGAACAGCTGTACCAGGACAGTGACATCCTTGGCTCACTTACCCCAGTAGAGACGCCACAATTCCATACCTGCCACACGATGTCGCTGTCGAGCCAGTCCCTCAGGGCTGCAGGCTGAGGGGGCTACCTAGCCTCTGTTGGGCACACAACCTGCGCCCTGGCCTTCCCCAGCGCCCAGCGTAGTCCCCAGCGCGAGCTCAGCACGAGAAGGAAGTTGTCATCTCCCCTCTCTCCCACTTTACGGGGTGTGGGGGCATTGGCAGAGCAGCCTCTTGAGCTACCCAGAGGGTCAACAGCAGTCCCTGTAAATCAGCCTTTGTCCAGGAGTGAACGCTTCCCTCTCCCTTTCTGGGGGAGGCTGCCCTGATAATTGCAGGGCCACTGGCCCTTCCCTGGAAGCCACGTTAGAATAGGGGCCCATGGGGCCTTAGTGGGGCTTGAAGGAAGCAGCATCATTTCTTTCCACAGAAAAGACGGCACACAAGCACACCTCTCTGGAAGGTACACACGCCATCCGCCAAGGAAATGCAAGTTAAAGGCACAATCTCCTGGCAAACGTGGAAGGGAAAGAAATACCAAGTAAGCTCCAAACCAGAATGCGACATTCAGCAAGCTACCAAGAGACTGCAAAGAGAAATGCTCTCCCCATTTCGTGCAGCCAAGCAGAAAGTCCCCCATTATAGTGTATGTCTTCATAGACGATAGACGATGATAGATAGATAGATAGATAGATAGATAGATAGATAGATAGATAGATAGACAGACAGATAGATGATAGGTGGGTAGATAGGTAGATAGATAACCATGAAGCCTTAATAACCCTGTCTTCAGAGTTCACCTATCCACCTGTGTTTAATAATTGCCCATGTTCAAATGAAAATCCTACTTTCCCTGTCAATAAGACAGCAGGTAGGTAGGAAGGTAGATCTGCCATTTTGGAGTCAGGCCCAGCTAAAGTTAGGCTAGGTTTTGTGACAGAAACTAGACCATAGGGCACTGGCTTCCTTGCTGGTAACATTTCAAAATTATGTTTCAGGGGATCAGGTGACAATCTCCTGAAGCATACCTGGGGAGCAGAGCTGAGGAAGGACTTGTTTTGCTTCCAAAGAGATTTACAGACAGAGGCAAGTGAGAACCTGCCATTACCAGGGTTCTGCCGGGAAGGCTTAAGAGCAAGCTGGGGAGGCCCTTTGCTTCCTTCCAACAGAGACAATTAAACTATTTCTCCTCCTCAGTGGGATTAGGAACTGCCCTCACACAGCCCCCCACTTCCCTTTCCTGAAGGAGCAGGAGCGGCTGCCTGCAAATGACAATGGTGACCTCAGGGAGGAAAGACACCAACCACGATGCCACTGCTCTCTGGAAATCTGTCCCCAACAAATCCAGGCCTTTGCTATAATACACTGGAGGAGAGACAAACATTCAGATAGTTAGCTTATTAAAGTAGTCTCTGTTTTCACTCAACTTTTTAAAAAGAATTTTCAAACACACAAGAAAACTGAAAGGAAAATGTAAACAATGGTACAGTGAACACCCATCTGGTCACCACTTAGACTTGAAAGATAGAGCGGTATTCAGACTCCAGCATGCTCATCATTACCCAGAAGATGGTGAAGGAGAAGCCAGAGATGGAGGAACTGGAGAGGAGGGATGGGAGTGATGTAGATGCAGGTACAGTTTGTGTGTCTGTCTGTCTCCATCGGTATCCATGCGTGCGTTGCCTCACGACCCCCTCAGATATCAAAATCCATGGATGTGCACTAGTTGGGGAAACATTTTCTTAGACCCCATTCAGCATATTTTCCC